ACCAGTAATTAACCTTTGTGTCTTGTAATACAACTGTTACTTCGATGTACATTTGAGGTACTAATTTTAAGGATAAATCTAGGGTAGGACCGTCTCATTCCTGAGGGACTGACGAAAGTGCTAAAAAAAAATGTTTTTGTCCTCGTATTAAGTATAGGTGGTAGTAATAAAACCACTTCTTACTATCACTTAACGGTATAGTCGGGGAAGCGATAATTTCAACTCCAGACATAAAGTAGCACAGAAACATAACGGTTAACCATAAAAAAGATCAAGGTCTGTAAATTCTAAATATTTGATAGAAAAAACGTATTTAATTGGAAACACCACAAAGCGTTTTCCGACGTCTCTCTCTCTCGGAAATAAATAATAGAAATGTGTGTACCCGGAGACGATGTAGGAATCATTTGATTAGTACTTACCTTTTCCTCAAATAGATTTTTTTTTTTGTATCTACGACGGTTAATCGACCACAAAAATAAGTCGACATCCATGACATATCGAATATGTAATTGTACATGTGAAAGTTACTTTGTAGACTTTACTTAATAATTTCTTTACAATAGTAATAATATCACTTTTTAGACGTACCGGTCAACTAGAAAGTATTTATTCACATTCGATTTAATAAAAAATTTGGAAAAGAAACGGAACTTCATACAAAGATGCTGTCTTTTCAGTAAAAATTAAGTTGTTTTTGTTACGCAATTTACTTATTTACACATAACACGTTCTGGAGAAGTGGGGCTAGTTCATAAAAGTGGGTAACCTTCGTTACGTCAAAGTAGAAAATTAGGTGTGAATACACATTGTTCCGACTCTGTCTTTACCGACTTTTGCCGACAAACTCCTCCGGCCACACGGTCCTATTTCACGGACCTCCTTTGTGACTTTACACAAATCAACAAACTCTGACTCGCCAAAGAAAACGAGGTTGTTCCAAAGTATAACAACACCTCAATTTGAAAACTCCCCTTGTAATGCAACCGAATAAGAAAAGGTTCACACACGTTCCGAAAAAGTTTAACTCGTTAATAAGATATAAAAGGTTCTCTTTAATGAAAGACTACGGTAAAATTACAGCTATTCTCGACCTAATATAAAGAAAGTACGGGACTAAACAAAAAGATTATATAGTGTTACTAAAGGAACGAGCTAATATAGCTGATGATAGATGACTAATAAATGTAGTAGTCGACAGCATTTTATAGTCGTTGTGAACTGATAACGTTTACACAACGATTTATAATGTCATACCGAAGACAACGATGTAAGTAGTAAATATAACATATATGTAAACTTCTTATTACAAAAAAAAAAGTGAGTGGAAAATGTATTAATGAGACATTTATGTATTGAGCACACGGCGAAACGCTTACTGTTAAGAAAGAAATTATAAAACATATATTTTATATACAGAGGCAGGGGACAATGGAGTCCATTCTACATGAAATTCCCCGGAACATACTATATAAAATGTCCCTTTTCGGAAACTATTTACAATCAACCTCATTTACCAGGGTTTGTTTTAAGTATTAACAGATGACATAATACGCGAAAATTACAGAATAAATATATTATGTGAATCAAAGGATAAAAATGTTGAAATTACTAACCTTTTTCCTTCGTCGAGTACTCACGTTTTATTTGTTCGTTTTTCGTTAAGACCAGGAGGAAGGTTTTCGTAAACAGATGTTTTATTGGACCGTTATGGAGAGTAAATGAGAGAGGAAAAAAGTGGTCCGGTAGGTATATATGTCGGTGTGCTGTGGTGGTGTGTGTGTTGTGTGGTGGTGTGTGTGTGTGTGTGGTGTGTGTGTTGTGGTTGTGTGTGTGGTGTGTGTGTGTGTGTGTGTGTGTTGTGGTGTGTGTTGTTGTGTGTGTGTGTGTGTGTGTGTTGTGGTGTGTGTGTGTGTGTGTTGTGTGTGTGTGTGTGTTGTTTGGACCAACCGGGGTAACCGGACGGTCCCGACACGTCCCGGTCCTCCCTTTTAGTAAGTGCCATTTGAACTTGTTCCTGACCGCAGGAAGACCTCAAGGGGACGACTGTCGGTCGGTTCTAGGAACGTTGTGTTTGGTGAATCGTTTTGTGCATGTGTGTTTGGGTTGCGCGGTATGTGTCTCTAGTTACACAGTGTGGGACTAGACCTGGTGTAAGTGGAGTAACATGAGGGAGGAGAGAAAGGAGTTTAAAACAGTAAAATGCAAGAAGGCGGGACATGAGAGTAAAGTCGGAGAATTGGAAACAGAGATTGACGAAGGGAGTAGTTAAAAAGAGGAACGTAAGGAAGAGCGAGACCAAGAGGGGTCACTAAAATTACAAAAAATAGTGGATTAATATTGGAATGTTAACTAACGTAAAAATTGGAAAGAAAAACAAAGACATAAAGAAGGAAGTCCTCAAGGGATTGAAATATTGAAAATTTTCTGGGAATCCACCCCTTGGGATGATGACGTCTCAAAGTTTCGTCCTCTTTAAAACAGCTGCTAGTTATGGGTACTTTTTACTGAAGTAAATGGTAAATGGTAAAATGGACTGTACTTATATAGCGCTTTATCCAGTCTTTAAGACCCCTCAAAGCGCTTTACATACTACATGTCATTCACCCATTCACACCCATTCATACAGAGCAGTGTACCTTACTCTAGGACCTAACATTCACACACATTCACACACCGTTGGCCATGCCATCGGGAGCAACTCAGGGTTAAGTATCTTGCCCAAGGATACATCGACATGTTGACTGCATGGGCTGGGATCGAACCCACAACCTTCTGGTTGAAAGACGACCACACTCCCTCACAGCCACAGTCGCCCTGTGAACTTTCTACTTCTCACATGTACATTTCAAAGCCTCTTTACTTTGACTTGAGTAAAGAAGTTTAGTCAGTACTTCTACTTTCACCAGAGTATTTTTAAACACGAGTCTCTGTACTTCTACTTGAGTG